GGGTATATACACCCTATATAATCCCCTCCCCTAGAGTGTGGAAGGGCCTGAACTAATCAGATGACCCCTTTTATTATTTATTTATTTTTAAATATGTTTTATTGATTTCAGAGAGAGAAAAGGAGAGGGAGAGAGAGATAGAAACATCAACGATGAGAGTCACTGATTGGCTGCCTCTTGCATGTCCCCTGCTGGGGATCGAGCTCACAACCCAGGCATGTACCCTGACCAGAAACTGAACCTCCATCTCCTGGATCATAGGTTGATGCTCAATGGCTGAGCCACGCCAGTGGGGCTAGATGACCCCTTTTAAAAGAGGGTCTAAAGGTCACAGTCAGAAGAAGACAGAAAGGTGAAGCTTCAACAGATTATATCTATATTTGGTCTAAAAGTTTTATTTTCAAATGTCTTAAATGTTATAGAAATAGAATCACACAAAATGCCAATTTCTAATCCCCCCCCCCAAACTCAGCAAAATTTCCTTGGGATTTATCCAATTTGTATCAATAGTTTCTTTTTATTGCTGAGTATTATTCCATGATATGTGCATAGCACAATTTAACCATTTACCAGGTGAATAATACTTGGCTTGTTTCCAGTCTGGGGCTATTATGAAGTTGCTAAATACTGCTGTACAGGTGTTATAAACATTGGTGTACAGGTGTCTGCGTGAACATCAACTTTCATTTCTCTGTGATAAATGCCCAGGAATGCAAGTGCTGGATTGTATAGTAAGAGCAAGTTAAGTTTTATAAGAAAACGCCAAACTATTTTCTAGAGTAGCTGTACCAACTCACTTTCCCACCAGCAATGTACACATGATCCAATTTCTCTGGAACCTCTCTAGCATTTGGTGTTATTACTATTTTCCATTTTAGCTATTTTGATAGGTGTACAGTGATATCTCATTGTGATTTTAATTTGCATTTCATTAATAGCTTTTGATGTTAAACATCTTTTCATGTGGTTATTTGACATACGTATATCCTCTTGGGTGAAATGCTTTTTCATGTCTTTTGTCCATTTTTTAAATGAATTGTTTATTAATGTTGAATTTTGAAAATTATTCTTTTTTTTAAATCCTCACCATGGATATGCTCACTGATTTTACATGCCCTGATCAGGGATCAAACCTGCAACCTAGGCACGTGCCCCAACCAGGAACTGAACTTGCAACCTCCTGGTGTATGAGATGACGCTCCAATCAACTGAGTCACACCGGCCAGGGTGAAAATTATTGTTGTATTCCAGATACCAGTGCTTTATCGGAACTACAGTTTACAAATATTTTCTCCCAGTGTGTAGCTTGTTTATTCATCCCCTTAACAGGGTCCTTCACAGAAGAAAACCTTTTTGTTTTGATGTAGTCCAATTTATCAATTTTTCCTTTTTTTTAGAGAGAGAATCAGAGACATAGAAACACTGATAAGAGTGAAACATCAACATCAATTGGCTGCCTCCTACATGCCCCTGCTGGGGATTGAGCCTGAAACCCAGGCATGTGTCCTTACCTGGAATTGAACCACTGACCTCTTGGTGCACGGGTCGAGATGCTCAACCACTGAACCATACCAGCTGCGCTTATAAAATTTTCCTTTTATGGGTCGTGCTTCTGTTGAGTCTAAAAACCTTTTGCCTAGCCTTAAAGTGTGAAGATTTTTTCCTAAAATTTTATAGCTTTATTTTACATTTTAATCTGTGATCCATATTGAGTTAATTTTTATGTAAGATGTGAAGTTTAGGTCGAAGGTCTTTTTTTTTTTTGCTATGGTTGTCTTAATTGTTCCAACACTACTTGTTGAAAAGGCTATCCTTCCTCCACTGAACTGCCTTTGCACCTTTGTCAAAAAACAGTTGGACATATTTATGTGGATCTATTTCAGGCTTCTGAATTCTATTCCATGTCTTTCCTCCAGTAATACCCACAATGCTTTGGTTACTCTAGCTACATAGTAAGCTTTAACACTGCATACAGTGATTCCTCCCACTTTATTCCTCTTTTTAAATCCCCCCCCCCCCAA